TTAAGACATTTACCTGTGTTGTCACACAAGCTTTTATAGGAATAAGCCATGTATAGATTGAAATAAACACAGCTTTATGTCCATTCAGGGATATTGACCAGAGTCAAGGGAACTAAGCCTACTCTTAGATCCCAGAGTTGCTACTAGCCTCCTTTTTGAGCATTATGGAGATTTCTGAAGATAAAGCTGAGTCATTCTGACAGAACTCTAGGTTTCTTAGTGTTCTTAACAGAAACCCCAAATCTGCCTATAGCGTTGAAACTTTAGATCTCTACATCTTATATGTTAGGTCATTTGTAAATCTGAAGATTCTTTGGTAGTTCAAAAATACTCATTTAGTGACTGTTTCTTTTCCTAGACTGTGTTGCAGAAAAATGATTGCTGTTATTTGAAAAGGGAACTTCGATATCTAATATAAATGCAAAATTTCTGTTATCTAGGCTTTTTGGGAAAATATATATCTATAGTGTTTTGGAATTATAGGACGTGTGCTCATATTTTTGATGGAAATAAATACTTAGATGAAGTTAATCTTCCAAGATTATTTCATAATTGTAAAGTGCTAGATATAATTCAATGTATCTTGTTCCATTTATAATATGTCTAGTAAACTCTGTATTACCAAAATCTCTTTTGTGCTTTGGGTACTAGGGGATGAATATAGGAGTGCTTAACCACTGAGCCATGTCGCCACATCCCCAGCACTTTTGTTTTTTAGAGATGGGGTCTCACTRAATTACTTAGGCCCTCGATAAGTTGCTGAGGCTGTCTTTGAAATTGAAATCTTCCTGCCTCTGTCTCCTGAGCCACTAGGATTACTGATGTATACCACCATGCTTGGCTGGATTACACAAATCTCTGTCATGAGAAAGTAGATTGTGTACTTCTGCCTAAATATTCTAATTAAATATTATCCATTTAAAAATATGAGCCATTTTAAAATATGATCCATGATGAATTATATTCTTTTTTAAAACATATTTATTTTTTAGTTGTAGGTGGACACAATACCTTTATTTTATTTTTATGTGGTGCTGAGGATTGAACCCAGTGCCTCATGTGTGCTAGGTACTGAACTATAATCCCAACCCTGAATTATATTCTTGAACCATATTCCTTCCTTTTGAAAAAAAAAAATTTAATTTTTTTTTTTTTTAGTTGTAGATGGACACAATACTTTTATTTTGTTTATTTATTTTTATGCGGTGCTGAGGATTGAACCCAGGGCCTCACACATGGAGGCAAGCGCTTTACTGCTGAGCCACAACCCCCCCCCTTTTAAAATTTTTATTTATTTATCTGATTCTGGAGGAGTCATATCTAGGGCCTTAGCCTTGCTAGATTAGCACTGTACTAGTGAGTTACATCCCTAGCCCTTTTTTATTTTATTTTGAGACAGGGTATCAATAAGTTGTCCAGATTGTCCTCAAACTTCCATTCCTCGTGTACTAGCCTTCTGAGTAGCTGGGATTATAGACTTGGCTCCTTTCAAATTTGGATTGAATTCTGTTGTATTTGGTTTTCAGGTTAATTTTTATAGTAGAAGCATTTCTAAAAATAAAGTCCCCCCCCCCCCATTGTGCATCTACAAAGTCTCAGGTTTGAAGAAGACTCTGTTATCAGATTTTGGACTGCTTTTATCAAGGGACCTTTCTTACATAGGAAAGGAAATTTCGCTTCTGAAGTTTGGTAGTTTTTTGTAGATACCTTGTGTAGATACCTTATTGCTGGTGGTGTGTGTCAAGACCATCTTTGTGGAAGCTTAGTGTTCCCCCACCAGTTATTTTAAAGTATTTTCTCAAATGCAGCTAAACATCATTAACTTTGGTTTCTTTATACATGTCACTTTCTATAAAATTTATTAAACTGAAGGTTTCAAATCTGAAGTTTGCTTTAGTAGTGTTACTAGACATAATTGCATGTGGAGTCTAGACCATACCTACTTTTAATAAAGGCTGTACCTAAAGTTCTTATGTGGTCTGCCATTACTTCCAGTTTGCTGCTAGGGGAAGAGTTATAAGTAAAAAACTGATTTTTTTTTTCTCCAAATGTAGTAGTTGGGTTATTATAAATAGAGGCAGTGTTTATATGAAAGCAGCTATAAGTCCTACATTTTTTGAATAGGGGTCACTTAAGAGTTATATCAATAGAATTCTTCACTGTTAAAAAATGGTTACAAAAATGATGTAAAAGTTTCCCTAATACTTTAAGGGATTTTCAAGTATGTGGTATCAATTGTGAGAAGAAAAAACATTTTTTKGGGGGGGGGATTTTTATTTTTTATTTTGCTAAGTTATTGAGGCTGTCCTCAAACTTGTAATCCTTCTGCTTYAGCCTCATGAATTGCTGGGGTTACAGGTTTGCACCACCCCAACTGGCACTTGAACACTACCACACCTGGCACTTGAGAAAATTTTAAATTAACCCAATTCTTATCTGTTTCTTGGATTGATAATTTAAGAATGAGACTAGTAGCTTTGGAAATTGGTAGATAGTGTTTATTATCTGCATGTGATTATCAAACAGAATTGAATTTCTGTAGCATGTAACATTTTAATTCTTCGTAGATTTATTTTTTAAAAGTCACTTTTAAAACTCTGAAAACCTTAAGCATCATTTTATAACATGCTAGGGTAAGGAATCTTAAATATGAAGGAGGATATGTTATGACTTCCTCTATCTACTTAACTAAAAGAAAATAGAAATCTGTTGTGGAATCAGGATGGGCATCAGCATCTAAATAACCTTGACCACTCTCAGTAGTGGAATTGGCTTGTTAGACCTTGACAAAAGGGGTTAAAGGTCAGGTTTTAGAGGAAAACTTGACCTCAGTTATTCCTAGATTGTTGATCTTTTTTTTCTAGGTGTGCGTGCGTGTGTGTGTGTGTGTGTGTGTGTGTGTGTGTGTGTGTGTGTTTTGCCAAGGATTGAAGCCAAGGCCTTGCACATGCTAGGCGAGTGCTCTGTCACTGAGCTAGAACCCCAGCTCTTAAAGCATGTTTCTTCAGTTCCATCTACATCTTTGATATGTTCTGTATGTATTATGCTGAGGTATTCAAAGTGTTAACTCTTTTTATAATGGTTCTTACCTTAGGGAAAAAACAGACTAAAAGTGGTTATGTGAAGGTAATGGTTGCAGTAGTTGTGTGGCAGTTTACAATGTTGAATTTGATGAAGTACCATCAATTAGTAAATTGATACCTCAGTAATAGGAAGATAATAAAGATTAGAATTTTAGAGTTGCTACTTTTCAAATCCAGTCATACGCAGTTGATTAAACCTAAGAATGTAGGTCTGTTAAAGAAAAGCTAATGTCCAGTTGGGAATGGTGGTACACACCTCTAATCCCAGTGTTTCAGGAGGCTGAGACAAGAGGACAAGAGGATCACAAGTTTAAGCCAGCCTAGAGCCTAGGCAATTTAGTGGGACCCTGTCTTAAAAAGAAAAGTACTTGGGATGTAGCCCACTGGTAGAGCACCCCTGTATTCAGTCATGAGTGTGGGGCACAGGAGCTGAAAAGAAAAGCCATGTCTACCCAAGCATAGTAGTGGTGGCCTGTAATCCCAGCTACTCAGGAAGCTGAGGCAGGAGATTGGCAAGTTTGAGGCCCAGCCTCATTAGTTTAGCAAGATCTTGTCTCAAAAATTGAAAGGGGCTGGAAGCTTAGTGGTAAAGTGCTCCTGGGTTCAATCCTTAGTACAAAAAAGGGTGTGGCAAGGAGGGTTCAGCTCAGTTTGGAGTACCCTGGATTTAATCCCTAGTACCCTCAATCTCCTTCATAATTAAGATTTTTGGAAATAGTTTTTTTTTGTTGTTGTTGTTTTTGCTGACACTGGGGATTGAATCCATGGTACTCTACTGATTTATACCTCCAATCCTTTTAATTTTGAGACAGAATCTTGATAAATTGCCCAGACTGGTCTTGAATTTATAATACTCCTGCCTTAGCCTCTGGGATAGCTGGAATTAAAAGTATGTGCCACCTTGCCTGGCTTTGGAAATAATTCATTAACTTTTAAAATTTTATTATTTTTAACACTGAGGATTGAACTTAGGGGTGCTTTACCACTGAGCTACATTCCCMATCCCCAGCCCTTTGTATTTTTTACTTTGAGACAGGGTCTTTGCTAAGTTTGTGAGACCTATGAATTTGTGATATTTCTACCTCAGTCCCCCCAAGTCAATGCGAAATTACAGGTTTGGGTTACTGGGCTTGACTGGAATTAAATTTTTATAGATAGAACGGTATAAGAATAAATAATGTTACCAGGCATGTGAGAATAAGAATTCATGAAGAGAAAAACTGTAATTTGATTTTTTTTTTTTTTTTGGTATCAGGAACTGAATCCAGGGACACTTAACCACTGAGTCACATTACCAGCGACTTTTGTTTTTTATTTTGTGAGAGGGTCTCACTAAGTTGCTTAGAGCTTCACTAATGTTCAAAGGCTGGCTTTAAACTTGAAATATCCTACTTCTGACTGCAAACTCCTGGGATTACAGGCATGTGCCACCATACCTGTTGATAATTTGATATAAAAAGTCATTCTTTGAAGTTGAAAACATCAGTTTCTTGAATAATAAATACTATATTAAATAAACATTTATTGATATCTTAATTTTTACTATTTGTGCCTTTATATTTTCCTGATCCTTAAAAATTAATGCTTGTTCTCTTATGTAGTAGCTAAAAAATATTAATAATGGCTTATTGTCTTATTATAGATATATTGTCTATTTTATATATTTTCTTATGAATGGTACTTTGCAATTGGTGTTTCAGTTCTTTATTGAGTGAGCAGGTTTAGGGGAGTAGGATTAAAATAGTGCTTGTATATGGAAAATTCATAAAGTTAGTTATGAATAATTTTGATTGTTGTATACATTAAATGGCTTTTTCTTTTCAATTGAAGACTTACATTGTGTTCATTGCATTAACAAGGAATTGAACTATTTGTTGAGATAAGTGATGAAAATTATTATGGCTCTTCTTTTGACAGGTGTTTGTTTGCTTATGGAAAGGTTGTAAAGTATATAACACTCCATCAACCAGTCAGAGTTGGTTACAGAGGCATATGCTGACACACAGTGGAGACAAACCTTTCAAGGTATGTATGTGAGGGTTTTTTCCTTTTGTTTGTTAAACTTCTACTTAAGATATTTCTTTTTCTTTCTCTCTCTCTTTTTGTATTGGGATTGAACCCAGAACCTCCAGCATGCTAGGCAAGCATTTTRTCATTAAAATAACACCCCCACCCCTAAGCTGACATGTTTCTTACTGGATATACTTTTGTCTTTCTAAAATTTTTTAAAATAACTATTTGTTTTAATATTCATATAAGGTGCATAGGTTTGGAAAGTAGCTTTAGATAATTTAATCCAAAATATTTAGTTTGAAGAACAGAAAAAAAGTTGCTATTAGGTGAGGGTCTTAAAAACAACTTGTGGATAGACTGATGACTTTAAGCTTTGTCTGTCACTTGGCTGTGGTTGATACCTTGTGGTCTGATTGTTTTCTCAGTGTTAGAGGTTTCAACATTATTAGCAAATAACACTGACTATTGTATGAAGTAAAGAAATTGTAGATCTTTAAGATATTCCTTTCAGTTTTGAGATCACACTACCGAGCTTAATTATAGATCAGTTTGTCCAAATAGATGTGTCTGGGAAATTTTTTACAAAGAGAAAGCATTGCCAGACATGGTGATGCATACCTGTAATCCCAGCAACTTGAGGCGGAGGCAGGATGATTGCAATTTGGAGCCAGCCCAGGCAACTTAGTGAGATCCTCCACAATTTAACAAAACTCTGTCTCAAAATAGGAAATGAAAAAGAACTGAGGATACAGCTCAGTGGTAAAGTATCCTTGGGTATACTCCCTAGAACCAAAAAAAAGGCTTTTTGGAAAAAATTGTTTTTCCATTTTGTCTTCATTAAAAAATTAGACAAAATAGTTTGGAAGTAAACAAAATATTTGGAAAGCATATATCACAGAGATTATATAAAGCATATATCACAGAGTTTGTGTTTAAAGAGGTTTAATAATTACTAAMTCCATAATTTCTACTGGAATGTAAATACTGTGCCAGAAATTTCCCTTGGGTTTCATCAGAGAATGAGGTAATTCCTATGAAGTTGCTTTAAAAGACCACTTAATGTTTTTTGAAAAGGCAGTAATTAATAAGTTTAAAAAAATCACAAAAAATTTACAACCAGGTGTGGTGGCACATGCATATAGCGCAGCTGTTCCAGGGAGTGAGGCAGGAGGATTGCTGAAAACCAGAAATTTGACACCTGGTCTTTTAAGTAAATGTTTTTTTTTCTTTTAGATTTAGAAATCTTGTTCAGTTTTTTTTTTTTTTTAAATTCTCATATCCTTTACCCCCTACATATATAACTACTTTTAGTAGTCTTATGAACTCTTCTAGTATTATTCTACAAAACTACAACATAAATATGTAGTTTCATTCTCCTTCCTTTACACAAAATCTAGTAAGCGTTATTTGTATCTTTTTTCTTTAATTATTTCTTTGGATCAGTATATATAGATACCTTTCAAAGATTAGAGTACAGAAATTTCTGCCATTGTTAACATCTTACATTGTGTGAATCTGTACCTTAGTTTTTGAATAGACTTAATSTTGGATCTGTCCACATAAATTCAGAATATTTTTTATTTTCTTTTAGCAGCTTCAAAATATTATATTGTATGGTTGTAAGTTTATTTAACCAAATTTCCATAGATACTTGGGTTGCTTTTAGTCTTACTATTAAAAATGGTGAACATATATAAAAATTTTTGTATATGTATAATTAAACATTTAGGAGAAATTCCTAAAAAATGAGTTGAGTAAGCATTGGTGATTTTATAAATATTCCAGATTGCCTTCTCTGTAGGTTGTACCCTCTCCATTAGCAGTGGTAGAGCATTTGCCTTTTCTAAAGCCTTGCTAAGAGGGTGCTCTTAACCTTTTTGGATTTTGTCAAACTAATAGGTGGAAAATTATGTCTTTATGTATAGTTGCAGTAGTGGGGACTAAACCCTAGGGCTTTGCACATGGTACACAAGTGGTCTACCACTGGGCTGCATTCCCAGTCTGAGTCCTAATCTTCTGTAACATCCTAATCTTCTGTAGTCATACTATAGACCTTGGTCCTGACGTTTATTAGAAATTCTACCTGGAACTGCATTCCTAACTTTCTGTCTAATATGTAGTTGGGTAATTCTGTGTTACTTGGTAAGCGTTTGTTGTGCAGTGTATATTCAATAAATACGAGATTATTGTTGTTAAGAGTAAAAAAAAGATACTTTCTCACTTATATTTCCATATATTTTTAAGGTGTCCATTAGGTGGTTGATTATGATATGTAGGTTAATTTTAAACCTGTACAAATGGGTATTTTTCTAAATCCTCTTCTTAGAAGCTGTAGGAAAATTTTGATTGGAGAGGGAAAAAAGCTTTTGTTAAACCATTATTCTGTGAACAAAGAGAAAAATTTCTTAAAAAAATCTTTGGTTAACATTTATTGTACATATTAGTGGAATTCAGTGTAATATTTCAGTGCATGCATATAATGAGAATGCATCCTGACCAAATCTAGCCCTCTTCAATACCCTTCATAACAATCATTTAAATTAAAAAAAAAAGAATTTTATGGATGTGTAAAAGTTAATAACACTCCTTCTGCTAGGCATTATGGAAGTAAGATGAATAAGAAAAACAGGCCTCTACCATTCAGGGAACTTATTTTTTTTTTAGAGTTATATAGATTTAAATAAATGTAAATAATGAAATGTTTCAGATTTTTAATAGTGACTTATTAAATGTTCTTTGGGAACATGCATGGATTCTGAATCAGTTAAATTAATAGGGGGTGGAAAAGAGTAGTAAAAGGTGAGTGGAAGTTGACTACAGAAAGAAGGCAATGAGGTGATATTTGAGGTGACTATCTTTGTTTATTTTGGGTGTTGTATACAGTGTCTAAAGTGTACTTAACATGTTTAGCAACTTAATGATTTGTTTCATATGTTTAACTACTACCTTAAAGGGTATTCTCAGTAAAGCAAGTTTTCCTAATGTCTCTTTCTAGTCTATCCTTCTGTCCTCCATCTCTTCTCCCAGTCTGTATTGTGATTTCTGTCATCCTGTCTTGATTGTATGAACTCTTCTGTCATTTTTCACTTACTAAATTATTTGATTGATCCAAATTGTTGTATGTGTCATTTTAAAAAATAAATTTCATAGTGCAGATAAACCAGTTTATTCTCTTGCTGATGTTAATCAAGCTGCCCTGTAGACATTTAGACATTTCTCTACATATCTTATTTTTTCAGTGCTGGAGATTGAATCCATGGCTTCATGCATGCTAGGCAAGCACTCTACCACTGAACCACATCCTAGCCCTCTACTTGTCTTCTCATTGCGTACACATACTTATTCCTCTTGGCTGTGTAGTATTTTAGTACACTCAGCACTTTTAATTTTGGCCATCATGGTTCGTGAGTAAAGCATTTCATTGTTGGCTTTAGTTTTTATTTCTCTTGTTGATAATGCTGTTGAGTACATTTACATGTGCTGTGTCTGTCTGAATATCATATTTTGGGTGAAGGTTCTATTCATGTCTTGTCTATTTTATTATTGGGTGGTTTGTTTTTTATTATTCAGTTATAGAAATTATTCATATGTTTGGAAAAGAAACCCTTTGTCTGACATGTGTATTGCTGATATCTTCTCCTAGTCTGTCTTTGGTTTTCATTTTTCCCTTTATATTTTGGTACTGGGGATTGAACCCAGGGGCGCTCTACTTCTTTTTATTTTGAGGCAGGTTCTAGCCTAACTCACTTGGCTAACCTCAAACTTTTGATCCTCCTGCCTTAGTCTCTCAAGTAGCTGGGATTACAAGGTGTGCACCACTGCACCTAGTCCCCTTTCCCTTTTTTAATGGAGTCTTGTGTCTCATGCTATGGASGATACTTTAGGTATATATTGAAAACGTGTATGTACATAACAAAGCAAAAAAAGAATAAACTATTTAGGGGGTATCATGCAGTTTTATATATGTGATACTTGGTGGCAATTTGAAATATTTTAAAAACTAGAATTTATTACAATGGAGCTTGAACTATGATAAATTAAGTTGGTTGCAGAAAGTTTCTTGTTGATTATTCTAGTATTTGTTATGCACTGAGTGAGGTTAAATGGGTGGCAGAAATAATCATGACAGCCAGGGCTTGAATGATACTACCTGGTGCTTTGCACTTTGCATAGATATCTTATTGCATTATATATTTTACTAATATTTATAATAGTTTTTAAATTATTGTTGTTCTCCTTTTAAGGATGAGGAAACAGACAAAAAGAGGTTAAATATTTTCTGTCATTGGCAATCAGTGACAGATTCGGGATTTTAGAGGCTGTGAGTCTCTGTTCTTAACCAATTATACTATAATTCTTCTTAGTTATAATGCAGAATAGCTCCTGTTCAATATTTATACACCTATTCTGTCCTTAGATTACTATCTGTTATTATCTCCTAATATCTTTTAGACTGGCAGTTAAATAAATTTTTCTCTTTTAGGTGTAGTGGCACACATGCCTGTAATCCTAGGGACTTGGGAAGCTAAGGCAGGAGGATTGCAAGCCTGGGTAATTTTATCAAGACCCCTTTCTCAAAAGAAAAAAGTTGGGGATGTAGCTCAGTGGTAAAATGCTTGCTTAACATGCAACAGGCTGCTCTGGGTTCAGTCTCCAGTAGTTTCAAAAAATGGGCTTTTCTTGGTGCTTTTTTTGGGGGAGGGGGCGCTTGAGGATTTATGCATATCTTAGGAAATCAGTGGTCTTTTTGTTGTTGAGTACCTTGTGACATAATTGATTTAAAAAAAATCTCACTGAGGAATCTTTTTTTTTTTTTTTTTGGTACCGGGGATTGAACTCAGGGGAACTCAACTAAGCCACATTCCCAGCCCTATTTTGTATTTTATTTAGTGACAGGG